AAACTGTCTTACAAAAATGTAGTACCACGCACGCATTTAACAAGACCTCTGGAATCTCATCCATGCAGTTGAATGGTTCACATATTATTTATATTTTCACCTTTTAGGAAAGCACATTCTGCTACTAAACATACCCACAAGATTAAATCGCCAGAGCCAAGGCAATTTAGGGTATATGCGAAACCCAATTCAGGTTTCTGTTTAAATTCAATTTCTTTCCTTGCCTAGTAACCTAGATGGCAATGGCATTAAGTGACAATTAATGAATAGCAGAATAACCCACTTCCGAATTTGTTCCTGTGTCTGGGTCATTTTTCCCTGTTTTAAAAGAATGAGATAAAGTGGGCAGTGTGCAGAGTAGCCCCAGATGGGATAGCATCTTGGAAACTGGCATTCTCTGAATACTCATGCAGAATCCAGAAATATCTCATGGTCAGGATGAAAGGTCTAAATTTAATACCAAAAACAGAAAATTGGCTTGGCTTTCCTGTACGCTGCACAGGAAAGTTCTTGTTTGGAAGTTCTGAAACGAGAAGGGACTGGAGGCATTATGTTCACAGCATCCTCAGATTTTTGTGGAGACCTGGGGAGTCTGCTGATATCTCAAGACCTCACTTGGCCCATGACGGAAGCCTGCAGTGAAGAAAGATGTTTTTTGGGAGGAAATCAGGGAGAAGGTTTGCACTGATACTGTACTCCCCAGAATAAGTACAGACTCATTTCTTCCTCTTCTGGTTTTGCCTACCCAGCTTTTAAGATTTAACCACCTTCCCTGACTACTGTAGGAGACATCTGTTCTTGTTTGCACTGCATCTCTACCTCTGGTAACAGAATCCAGTTCTAACTTTTTGGGAGTAGCCCTCCCCAGACTCATCTATCAGAGTCATAGCAATTGATTCAAGAAGGGCCTGACACACTTAAGACCAGTGAGGGAATTTGCTGGAACTATTGGAGAAAAGATTCTAGTTTCAGTGAGGCTGCTAGGCTGGAAGAGTGTAAACCTCTTGCTACTAGCAGCCCATTCAGAGGAAAGTGGAGATAAGAGACAGAGCAATGGAGGGAGAAAGAATATCAAGATGACCTAGATCAAGCCATACCTGAAGGTAGAATATCCTTGGACAATTGCATGAAATAATGACCCTCTCCTTATTTTAATTTTGTACTTAACTGGTCTTGAAAAATACACTTGACCAGGAGTGATTTTTTTTCTCCTCTGAATAACCAGAGCAGAAGTTCACAACCGTGGATGGCCTTGCAGTATCTACAAGGTTAAATAAGGGAGTTGTAAGGGGCAGCTTTTAGTTCCTCTCACCTCCTTCACACCTGTCCCCACCCTCTTCTCCACTAGAGGCTGGTGAACTTTTATTTTATTTTATTTTTTTAAAAGATTTTATTTATTTCTTTGACACACAGAGAGATAGAGAACACAAGCAGGGGGAGCAGCAGGCAGAGGGAGAGGGAGAAGCAGGCTTCCTGCCGAGCAGGGAGCCCGACGCGGGACTCGATCCCAGGACCCTGGGATCATGACCTGAGCTGAAGGCAGACGCTTAACGACTGAGCCACCCAGGCGCCCCGAGGCTGGTGAACTTTTAAAGCACACTTCCATGTAACAGCATCTTCTTATCAGAGGGCTTCAGGTGAGAAGCAGATTGGGTATTTTAGTGTTTTGGTAGCAAGGGATAAGTAGGTTTCAACAACAGTTTGCTGTTACAACCAAAAAACTGCTAAGGAATCCACAGCTTCAGTTCTGTGGTCTACAACCATGAGCACCCAAGATGCTAAAATTAACAAGAATTCAGCGGAAAAGACAAACCCAATAATGAATGGCCACCCACCTCCCACTTACCCATGCCCCTGCTCATCTGACTTAGCCAATGGAAGTGCTTTATCCAGGGGCGCCTGGGTGGCTCAGTCGGTTAAGCGTCTGCCTTCGGCTCAGGTCATGATACCAGGGGTCCTGGGGTCAAGTCCCACATCGGGCTCCTTGCTCAGCAGGGAGCCTGCATCTCTCTCTGCCTGCCTCTCTCACTCTCTCTCTGACAAATAAATAGATAAAATCTTTTTTTTAAAAAAGATAGTGCTTTATCTATAAGACAGTGGAGGTATGTACACGGATGTTCATAGCACATTGTTCAGTATAGCCAAAAAGTGGAAACAATCCAAATGTCCATCAACTGAGGAATGGATGAACAATGTAATATTATTCTGCCACAAAATGGAATGAGGTTATGATACATGCTACAACATGGATGAACTTTGAAAACATTATACTAAGTGAAAGAAGCCAGACACAAAGAGCCACATACTTATGATTCCTTTTATATGAAATGTCCAGAAAAGGTATAGTCATAGAGAAGGAAAGCAGATTAGTGGTTTCCAGGGGCTGTGTGGTGGCAGGTTTTTTTTTTTTAAATTGGGAACTAGGAGATGATGGCTAAAGGGTATGGGCTTTCTTTTTGATGAAGATGTTCTGTGATTAGATAGTGGTGATGGTTGTACAACTTTGTGGATATGCTAAAAGCCATTGAATTGTGTACTTTGTTTTTTAATAATAATTTCTTAAAACTTGAGTATTGTTGACACACACTGTTACATTGTTTTCAGGTATACAACGTGGTGCTTTGAAATCTCTATGTGTTATGTTATGCTCACCACAAGCATGGCTACCATCCGTCACCATACATCACTGTTACAATATCATTGACTGTATTCTCTATGCTATGGCTTTTATTCCCCTGACTTATTCATTACTTAACTGGAAGCCTGTTTCTCCCACTCCCTCTCAACTATTTTGTCTAACCACCCCCAACCCCCCCTTCCCTCTGGCAACCACCACTTTGTTCTCTGTATTTATAGGTATGATGTGGCTTTTTGTTTGTTCATTTGTTTGTTTTTTTAGATTCCACATATGAGTGAAATCATATGGTGTTTGTCTTTCTGAGTCTGATTTATTTCACTTAGCACCCTACCCTTTAGGTTCATCCCTGTTATCCCAAATGGCAAGAGCCCATCCTTTTTCATAGCTATGTGATATTTCTGTGTGTGTGTATCTTCTTTATCCATTCATTTATTGATGAACACTTGGGTTGCTTCCATACCTTGGCTATTGTAAATAATGGTGCAATAAACATAGGGATGCATATATCTTTTTGAATTAGCATAAATTATATACTTTAAATGGGTGAATTGTATGTATGTTAATTATACCTTGATGAAACTGTTTTTTAAATAGAGTCAGGGTAGGGGTGGGAATCTTTCAGAAAGACTATCTCATATAACTGGACTTCCCTTCAGCTATTAAAAATGTCAAATACAGTTCAGCCAAGAGACATCTTTGGGGGTTTACAAGGAAGACTCAACATAGCATCTAAGAGGAAAAAAAGTCTTCACGTGGGTGGCTTGACTTGGAATGTAATCGGCCTTCAGTGTTGTGGAATTGTTGCCGAGAAGTTCTTCTTGGACTCTTCATGAATCCACTCAAGGTTTTATCATAAATGAATCAGGGGGTGGTTAGTCTTCCTTTGACCTGTATCTGGGCCCTATAGATAGGCTAATACGAGCGGGCTTCTCTATGTCTCTCTTTTTCAGTTCAAGTTGGAATATAAGCTTCTCAGTATATGGATCCCAAGAAGCATGCTGACTGGCCTCAAATTCTTCCTTGTGTTCCAGAGCAACCACATTAAGCATAAAATCCATTCAAGTTTGCGTGCAAAGAGTGGATTCCATTGCTTACTCCAATTTACACAGTATTACATTCTCAGAACTGAAAATTATCATGTTTCTATAATAGTTGCAACAGGCAGAGGAGGAACTAAAAACTACCCAATAAACCACTCTTATCTCTTTCTATAGCCTACATCTGTAGACTCTGTAGAAGGAGCAAATCTAACCATCTCATTTTTTAAAAAGCAGAGGGGAAAAGATGAAATGTCCTTAGCTCTTCCAGTGTCAGGCACTGTTCTAATTACTTTACCTGTATTGACAGTCTTAATCCTTACATCAGCCTTGGAGGAAAGTATTATTATAGCCACACTTTATAGGCAAGATCAGGAAAGCTCAGAGAGGTGAGGCTGCAAAATGGCAGACCCAGGTTTCAAATCCTGGTGGCTGAGAGAATCTCCTAATACACCCACCATCAGTTAATTATGCAATCCCTTATATGAATCTTTTATTGTTTCTCCCAAAGTTAATTAAATTATTTAGCTTTTCGAGGTTTTAAGCGTTGCCTCCTCCAACTCCTCAGGAGTATCTGTGAGCTGGAATGGGTCTTCGTTTTCCTCCAAGTGCTCCGCAGGATGCCTCTGCTTGATAGTTCAATAGTCAGAAGGCAGCCAGCAATGGCTTCATCTTGCAATGTTCTGTTCCCTCTGCCCGAAAAAATATCCATGTGGCTAATTTTCACTGATCCTTAAACATCACTTTGTCTGATGGAACCCTTCCTGACCGTAGGGTCCCTTCAGCCCCAAATAAACTCAGGATACTTCATCTGGGCTCCCCCATTTTTGGGCCCTTTTATGATAGTGTTGGAGTTGCCTTTCAATCGTCTCTTTATCCACATTAGACTCTGCTCCTTGAGAACAGGAGCCCTGTAGTTAATTCCTGGCTTCCTTTGCATCCCCAGCAGCCAGCACAGGGCAAGGCAAATAGGAGATGCCTCATAAGGAATTTGAACATTATGAGGAAACATAAGGAATTGTTTCCCTTTTTGTTTGTTTTATTTTGCTCTAAAACTGATGCTAAATCTGTAGTTGGTTTCTTCCAAGATGTTTGAACAGGCAACTAAGTTTTCAGGGCGTGAGGAATTTCATTTTCTTCTTCTCATATTTTCCTTGCCAGCTGACATCACAAAGTACAGTGGTCTCCAGTCCTCACCGTGGCTCAGGACCCGTAAACGCACTTTGCAAGTGGGCGGGGCACCTCACTTTGCCCAGCCAGGTACCTCGGCCCCAGCGCGCGCCCGCAAGGGCCCCGCGGAAACGCCCCGGCCCACCCGCCGGAAGTGACGTAATGCCACGGCCTAGCAACCGTTGCCAAGGAGCTCGTCTCTAGGAACCCTGTAGAGCCTGGATGCCTCCTGCGGGGGGGAAAAGAGGTTTCTTGAGGAGAATTTGAGGTAACCTCGCCAACACGCGCTCGGAAACTTCCCCGAACCCCCCCCCCAGAAGGAAAGAACTCCCTCCTCCTCCCCTTCCCAGTGCAGCACCTTCGCCAGGGGAGGGTCGCAGCAGTTAAGCCCCCAACGCTGGGGTCGGTGCCTGCCGGGCCTCGCGCGGATCCTGACCGCCCCGCCGAGGGTTGAGTGGTCGGGGAGCCCAGATCACCCCCCCGCGAGGTGTCTGGGTCGGATGTGGGGTCCCCTGTCCCGAACCCCAGGGGCGGGGGGAACACTATTTTTGGGAATCCCAAGAGGCTGCTGGTCCAGCGCTCATGCCGGCCTGGGACCAGGGCAGCGTCGTTTCTGTCCCGAGTTGTGCCAGATAAACGTACGTCCTGGTTTTAATTCTTCCCCCCACCCCCGTGGGCTCTTATGTGGGTAAGTGCTCGTGAATTAGTGTGGCGACTTTCCGCTGGTAGAGGGAGAGTAATTGCTTTTGCTAATTTTAGAGCGCAGAGCCCACTGGGCATAGACAACCTACCTGTTGAGTAGATCTTTGTCCTTAGCGGGTGACCATCTGAAAGCTGGTGGGCACCTAGGGGGAAACCCAACTAGTTTCTTTTCCTCTCCTGGTAACGTTTTACTCGTTTATCCAAGTTTTTTTTTTTTAAAGGGAAAAAAGTTTATGTGTGTGTATATATGTTATATATTATATACATATAATTTCTAAATCATTAAACCTATATATGTAAGTGAAGGTTATGACGTGAATTTTTACTTAAAATATTTTTAACAGTGAAAAACTTGCATCTCCAATGTGGATTTTTATTTAATTTATGAAAAAGATTTCCTTTTGTAGATTAAAGGAAACCGCAAAATTTTAAAGCACATTACTTATCCTTTCTACTATCTTTTGACTTAATTTTTTGGCAATAATAATCATTTATTCATAGTTTTACATGTAATGTTTTCCAAATATCCAGCTCCACCCACCCAATTAAAAAAAACCTATTTCAGGGCAAAATGCATGCAGCCCCAACTAATGTCTTTGATAAAATAGCATCTATTAATTTCTTAGTTAAAAATTATTAAGCACTGAAGTAATTTTTTCTTTATTTCTTTTTTTAGCACTTCATTCTTTAATTCCTTTTTTTTAAATGGCCAATTTAAAAAATTGCCTGCCTGCAAAATTTCTACCACTTCTTCCCATACTAAACAATTGATACCTTCATGCAGGAAACACTAGGAACCTTGGTAAAGCTGCTTCAGCTTTTTTCAGATACTTAATTTTTCCAGAAAGTTATGATCACCATCAACCTACTTAGGCTTATCTTTCTTTTTCTGGCCTTGGGCCTGTGAACACATTTATCCAGTCTACGGAAGAAGTCACTGTTTTGATGCGGTGGGTATTCACAGATAGAATTAGGCACAGATAGGTCCTCACGGAATTTACATTTTAGTAGAGAAGAGAAAATGTACATAAGTACTAGTACAAAACAGAAAAGTAACTCTAGGAGAGCAGTGCAGATAAAGTGTGGTTAACTTGGAGGGTAGGTGCTGCTGCTGTTATTCTGACGGAGAATGTGGGAGATAGCTTGAAAATGACTTCCTGGAGGAACGTGCATTTGGAGGGCAGACCCTGAAAGACCGTTAGGATTTGCACCTGTGGAGATCAGGCGAAGAAGAGTCTTTCTAGGCAAGAGAACAGCATTAACTGAAGGCAGAGGTGGAGAAACTAGGGAGCAGTAACTTTCAGTCGGGTGAAATTTAAAACAGTGAAAGGTAACAATTTGGAAATAAAAGTGGGAAAGCTAAATTGAGTTAGATCTGAAAAATCAAAATCCAAGAAGTATGGATTTTATTTTGTGAGCAGTGAGAATCATACAAGTGCTTTGGAATAGGAGAGGCAGGGGCCAGAAAACTGGAGGCTCTTACCTTATTGTAGGCGCAGGGAAACGGGCCTGACTTACTCGACCGTGGCCGAGTCGATGCCTACAGTCCATTAACATCAATGCGTGAAGAGTGCTTGGTGGAGGAAACCAGAACAAAACCAAAGAATGCACATCCAGGCTAAAGCTTGTGGCTTCCGCTCAGCTTCGTTTGGGTGTGGCTGTGCACAAATGTGTGCCCAGGGTTGCCAGATCTGATTTTGAAGAGAAACTGTATGTCTGGATTTTAATGTAAAAAAAACTCCCACTTTTTAAAACATGGGCTGCTAATTAAAAAAAAAAAAAAAATTAGAAGCATGTCTGTAGCCTAACAAATTTTTACCCCTGGGTAGTTGTAGAGCTGAATGGGAGAGATGTTAATGTAGGTGGGATTTATTATTCATTTGTGCATATGAATTCAGTGTTAATTCAGATGATGGCTATCTTACCAGATGTATATACAAAACATTTGGTATTCAATATTAGCAGTATACTGTAACATTCATAATAAAGTCTTCACATTCTGATTTCTTTCAACAAAATACCCCTTTTCACAGCATTTTGTATGCTATGAAGAATTATACTCTTCATTCCTACTTCCTATAAACTTAATACTGATTTTTTTTCCAGAATGTTTGTTATCAGTATTGAGGAATTTTATCTCTATTTTTAGTTATGACCTAATTATGAGTGATCAAATCAAATTCATTGTGGACAATCTCAATAAGGAGCCTTTTAGGAAGAACTATAATTTAATCACATTTGATTCCCTGGAGCCAATGCAACTATTGCAAGTTCTCAATGATGTTCTGGCTGAGATTGACCCAAAGGTAAGAGTTTTCTCTTTCTTGTGATGAAAAGGATAGTAGGAAAGCCATTTTTTGCCTCTAAATATCTGTGAGTCTTGGGCCTTATTTTCCATGCCTATAAAGTAATAATAAATGATCTTTAAGATTTCTCTACTAGCTTAAAAATTAAATTATCTGCTTGTACCTTATTTAGAAATTATTTCTCTGCTCCAAACATAAATTTATTTGGTCCTGGAACGAAAATGCTTTTACAGAGGTTTTATTGTATTGCAAGTTAGGTCATGTCTCTTATACACTGGTTTTTTCCACTGGATACTTTTTAACCTTGACATTCTTAATACAAATCCTGATCTGACTTGTATGTACCCTCACTTGGAATCTGGGGGCCTCCATACTTAATCTGTTTTATGAAGAGACCATTGTGCCTGTTATGCTCTGGGAGAACAGTTTTGTCAGTGAGTTTAAATATTGTTCTTTGTTAGATATACAACAATAACATATTTTTTCAATTTCTTTATCTATTAGCAAGTTGTTGATATCAGAGAGGAGATGCCAGAGCAAACAGCCAAAAGGATGTTGAGCCTTCTTGGTATCCTCAAATATAAACCTCCAGGAAATGCCACAGACATGTAAGAATTTGATCACGTGTTGCTTTCTTAAAGCTATGCTTGAATATCTAAACTTTCATGTGCTGTAGTCAGTCTTTCTAGGCAATACCTGGTCTCTCTGTCAATGGCTTTAGAATGTCACTGAGTTTCAAGATAATCTTGAACTTTTAATATTATTTTGTCATGTAGAAGTCTTAAGTGGGTCAGTTTCTCCCCCAAATCAAAAAAGTCAGGCAAATCCCACTATTCCATTTTATCATTTATCATTTATATGCCATCCTAGATAAAAACAATCATTTAAACTTGCCCGGTCAATGAAGTATTAAGGTAGACTGTACCAATTAATGGTTCCAATACAACCTCCCCATATAGTCCAGTGATATATTCGGGCCTAATTTTATGTTTATTGTTGATATAGAGAATGACTTTAGAATAGCCTTGGTTTTATCTTTTTTTTTTTTTTTTTTTTTAATAGTCATGGAAGGGACGCCTGGGTGGCACAGTCAGTTAAGCGTCTGCCTTTGGCTCAGGTCATGAACCCCAGGTCCTGGGATCGAGTCCTGCATCAGGCTCCCTGGTCCGCGGGGAGCCTGCTTCTCCCTCTGCTTGCTGCTCCCCCTGCTTGTGCTCTCTCTCTCTCTCTCTGGCAACTAAATAAATAAAATCTTAAAAAAAAAATAGTCATGGAAAGCCATCAAGAAATTGTAAATTAGGGTTTGAGATTTTATTTCGTTTCGAGGTTTATTTGTTATAAGTGGGGGGAGGGGTGTTGATCACCTGCACGTGTTTATTTTCTTTTTATAGGAGTACCTTTCGTCAGGGTCTGGTGATTGGAAGTAAACCTGTAATTTACCCAGTGCTCCACTGGCTTCTTCAGAGAACTAATGAACTGAAGAAAAGAGCATATTTAGCTCGTTTTTTAATAAAACTTGAGGTACCAAGTGAGTTTCTTCAGGATGAAACTGTGGCTGATACCAATAAACAGGTATACAATACACAAATGGTATTTTTAAACTATCTGTAATGGATGTAAAAGTGCACATGTTCAAACACCTGTTAATCTCTCTTTAGCTTATTTGCTTCTCTGTATTTCCAGGTGGCATCTAAAGGTAAAATGGTTATTAATAATGTTCAACTGTAATCAGGTATGAAAATATTGACTTTTTTTTTAAAAGATTTTATTTATTTATTTGACAGAGACACAGAGAGAGGGAACACAAGCAAGGGGAGTGGGAGAGGGAGAAGCAGGCTTCCCTCTGAGCAGGGAGCCCGATGAGGGGCTCGATCCCAGGACGCTGGGATCATGACCTGAGCTGAAGGCAGATGCTTAACAACTGAGCCACCCAGATGCCCTGAAAATATTGGCTTTTGCACACAAATACTATTTCAGTGATAGGGGTATATAGATAGAAAAAATCCTGAGATTAGGATTTTAGAATAATTTATTCAGAATTATGGGTAGATAGGATTTTGGGTTTAGGACTGCAGAACACTTTGCAGAATCAGTTAGATGATTATACAATTTGTCATCCAAATCAGAGCGAAAGGGACTATCATAATAATTACATGAAGGCAAAGGTATAAATTCACACTATCCTAGACAAATCAGGACCTGTGAGCCCCTGAGAGGATTTTGTATAGGCAAAGAAGCTAGGCTTGAGATCTCAAAGGACTTCCCAATCAGGCAGAAGGTAGAGAAAGCACCAGGAGTTTGAAATCTCAGTGTACTTTCCTCCTGGAGTTTTAGGATCATATTGGGTCCTGGCCTTACGGTATTTTTTTTTTTTTTAGGTTTTATTTATTTATTTGAGAAAGAGAATGAAATAGAGAGAGAGAGCATGAGGGGGGGGAGGGTCCAAGGGAGAAGCAGACTCACTGCTGAGCAGGGAGCCCGATGCGGGACTCGATCCCGGGACTCCAGGATCATGACCTGAGCCGAAGGCAGTCGCTTAACCAACTGAGCCACCCAGGCGCCCCTGGCTTTACAGTCTTAAAGCTCTTGACTACTTTTGGGGCACCTTGGTGGCTCAGTCGGTTAAGCATCCAACTCTTTGTTTGGCTCAGGTCATTATCTCAGTGTCCAGAGGTCAGGCTCAGGCTCAGCCCGGAGTCTGCTTGGGATTCTCTCCCTTTCCCACTCCCTCCTCCTCTGCTCCCTCCCCTCCCCACTCACAAGTGTGTATGCTCTCTCTCTTTTCCTTAAATAAATAAATAAAATCTTAAAAAAAAAAAGTTCTTGACGACTGAGGATTCTGGCTGGTCTAGATCTTGGTCCTGGGATTTCAAAGCACATTCCTGATCATAGACTATGGAAAGAAGGGATTCAAGTTTAAGGTTTCAAAGGACTTTGATTAAAAAAAGTGCCCCTGTTTAGCCCTTTGTGCTTTTATTCTGTGCTATATACATAGACTGGTTTGTGCAGTTCGTTGTGAATAGTTTGTCAGTCTATCCCAGTAGATCCTGAGGTGCGTGAAGACAGGTGTCATGTCTTATCCGTCATTGTTTTCCTCCAGAGTTTTGTAGAGTTGCTTCTATACGATATGTGCTCAAGATTGGGATTGAATCAGAACAATCAAAACTGAATGTTTTTTCACCCATATATTTTGTTGTTTTGGATAGCCACGCAGTCACTCAAAATAGAGTCAATATTGATCTTTTAAGACATTTTGGGTGTTGAAAGATTTATGTAAATAATCATGTCAAATGTTATAGTAGATGTCACGGGAGAAGTACAGCAGAATGAGACTACCCCAATTCCTACATTTGAAGGCTTTACGTAATGTAAGAAATAGAGAAGTGTAAATGTGAAATATTGTCTCCTTCCTACACTCCCTCGTCAATAAACCTGATAAAAACTAATTCCTCTGGAGGATGTTTATTAATAGCTTTTACTAAATATGCCCAGACAATTAATGGAAGAGTTAATGATAAAGACATGTTTATTCTTGAAACATATTTGAGGTGTAAATCTAAAATGACTCATACATTTAGCCAGTCAGTTAGCACAGAACCTAATAAAAAATGTATGTTGTCTTTCTAAGTGAGGAGTTTTAGAATAAATGATTTACAGATTTGTAGGATATGATCAGTCAAGAAACATATTAATTTCCTGTGATTGCTCACAAAAAAATACTAATTTTAAAGAATTTTGGAGAAGTTGCAATTTTTTCATTCATTCAGCTACTTTTTATTGAATATCTATATCAGTTATGCATCATGCTAGGCCCCAGGGATACTAAATTGTACAGGATAATAGTATTCTTGTCCTCTTGACTCTTGCTGTCTAATGGAGGGAGACAGACAAGTAACTAGGCAATTATAATTTTACATGATTTTTATTCTGATATCATGACACTCTGATCTAGAATAGGTATAGGGCTAGAGAAGTCTTCTCTGAGAATGGTGGTATCTATGCTGAGACCTGACAGATGAACTGAAATTATCCAGGTAAGGGGTGAGGAAGCCATAAAGTATTCTCAGAAGGAATGGGGTGTGTAGACTGGAGGTGAGAGCATAGAATATTCCAAGGATTGAAAGATCACCATAGCTGGAGTGTAGAATGTGAGTTAGGGGAACTAACCAGAGAGGAAGCTGGAAAAGTACTTAGTGACCAGATTATACACACCTACTTTTTTTTGTGTCTTATATAAATGTTTAAGGATGTATTTTTAATGCTGTTATATAATGATTTAAGTAATCACTATAAGTTAATCAATAACCTGATGAAGAAAAGTCTACTGGATCTAGTCATTAGTTTATAATTTTTTAATTTGTCTTTTAGTATGAAGAGCTAATGGAAGCCTTTAAAAATTTGCATAAAGAATGTGAGCAGCTCAAGACATCTGGATTTTCTACAGCAGAAATAAGAAGGGTAAAGAAAAGAAAATATAGTAATTTTTTTTTAGATTTGAATATTAGTTTTCCCATTTTTGTTTTTAGTTAATTCAGTATGAGTCTTAAAACTATATGGGAACTGGGGCGCCTAGGTGGCTCAGTCGGTTGGGTGTCTGCCTTTGGCTCGGGTCATGGTCCCGGGGTCCTGGGATTGAGCCCCGCATCGGGCTCCTTGCTTGGGGGGGAGCCTGCTTCTCCCTCTCTCCCCTGCTCGTGCTCTATCTCTCGCTATCTCTCTCTCTCTCTCTCAAATGGATAAATAAGATCTTTAAAAAAAAACAAAACTATATGGGAGCTAGTGATAGCAAGTGGCAGATTTTCTTTTGTCCAACCTTTGCTAGTTCTTTACTGAAGAAATTAATGATACCAAGGTAAATTCATAATGAGTTCTTATGTACTATGTAGATTACTACCATGGATTAAAAAAGATTACATTTTGGGTCTTTCTCTCTCTCTCTTTATATATATATATATATATATATATTAAATATCTATTATATAAAGTATAAAATATGTATAATAGAAAATAGAGACGAGAACAAAGAAGAAAAAAGCCATCCAGTTGCTATCCTTTCAGGTTTTGTGTGTATATTTGTGTTGGTGGGTATTTGGGATCATGCTGTACAGAGTTATTTGTATCTTGCTTTTTTAATCATTGCATATATTCACATTGTTATCTTTCTAAATATGATTTTTTTTTTTTAGATTGGGACTTGGGGCAGAGGGAAAGGGAGAGAGAGAATCTTAAGTAGGCTCCACACCCACAGCCTGGAGCCCACCATGGGGCTTGTTCTCACGACCCTGAGATCATGACCTGAGCCAAAATCAAGAGTTGAATGCTTTACCAACTGAGCCACATAGGCACCCCCTAAATATGATTTTCTTTTAATTTTGGGGGGTGAGGCAGAGGAAGAAGAAGAGAGAGAATCTCAAGCTGACTCCCTACTGAGCTCAAAGCCTGATGTGGGGTTTGATCTCATGACCCTGAGATCATGACCTGAGCCGAAATCAAGAGGCAACCACTTAACCGGCTGAGCCGTCCAGGCACCTCTAAATATGATTTTTAATGACTAAATAATTGTCCATAGTATGGATAGGTTAACCATTTTTGGTTTCTTATTTTATTTTTTGCTACTATAGATAATGCTATGATTATCGTATACATAAATTTATTTTGGGCTTTCTGTAATTGTTTCCTTAGGATAAATTTATAGAAATATTAAAGCATATGAAAATTTGGGGGACTTTTGACACATGTTACCTCATGGTCTCCAAAAACAATTTAACCTTTTCACCAGGCATATAACTTCTTTCCCTAAACATGTGCTAATTCCACTTTCATGAAATTTGTATTTTTAGAATTCCTGAGTTATCCATGCCATCTTTATCTTCTTAATTAGGAAACAGTAGAAGTTGCTTCCTCAGGGAGGCCTTCCCTGATTCCCTAGATGGATTAGTTACCCCAATTCTTTTTGTTTTATAATACACATCACACTTATAGTTACTTTAATGTCTGTTTTCCCAATTATCTTTATTCCCTTTGAGGGCAAGGGCCATGTCTGTCTATCTTGTACATCACTGTGTACCCAGTGTCTATCACAGTGCCCTGCACGTGGTAGGTTCTCAATGAGAGTTTGTTGAGTGTATTAGGAATGAAAGATGAGCTTACATTTAGTGGGGGAGAAAGACCCATAAATAGGATACTTAACAGTATGAGGGAAGAGTGATGGACATTCATCCACTGTTCCTCCGTTATGTCGTGTGAGTAAACTGAAATGATAAAATGACTGAGAGTCTGTCATTTTATTTTCATTATTCTTGAACATATTCTTTTTAGAAAATATGACAAGCAAGAATAGAAAATAATTCACTCATAATCCCACACTGTAGAGATAAGTACTATTGACATTTTAGTGAATATATTTAAATCTTTTTCTTTGTATTGTACTATAATATAAATGTAATCTGCTTCTTTCAGGTAATGTCATATCATGAGTTTTTCTGTCATTAAACGTTCTTCATAATTTTTAATGACTTTCATTGTATTGTGCCATGGTTTATTTAATATTTCTCATTTGGTAATTTACAAATTTTAGATATGACTAGCATCTGTGAGATTCCTCATAGAGAAGTCTTTGACCTTCCATGCATATTTTATTAGGACAAATTCCCAGACGTGGAGTTACCAGGGTAGATGGTATATATGTTTATATATATATATAAACTTTTGACATTGTTCCTTAGTACAATGCCACCAGTAGTGAGTAAGAATGCCTAGTTCCTCAGATCCTATCAATACTAACTACTATGTATATTTTTCTCTTTAGTATTACTGTGATAGTTAGGCTATTAGTTTTTTAAGTTTAGGAAGGATTTTTTTGTTTGTTTTCACTAGAAAATATTATGGAGCTTGTTAAAAGGAAGGTGGTTTATTTTTGAAGTCTATATTTTTAGGAAGGAATTGGTTAATTGACAAAACCAGACCGAAATTTATGTCTTAAAAACATCATAGCCTTAAAAATAATTTTGATGGAAAATTGGCAGAATATATAGTTGGGTATTTAACAGAGCAGATGGGATGTCAGCAGCTGTTGTTCATGGTTTTAGGCCTGTACACTTTCCATTATAGAAGACTTTTGAAAAATCGTGTGCCCATATTTGGAATCAGAACACAAATGTGCTGGTTGGCAGCTTTACCTTGCTACGTTATAACCTGTTTTGGTTGCTTTTCTAAATGAACACTAAGCTGCCAAATAAATTATCCTGTATAAAGAACCCTGGGGGGAAATAAAAATACCCTTTATCCAAAAGAGGATTTTGTTCCTTAATGCTCTGTAGTGCATTAAGTAAGTAGTGAAGACGGTCGATGCACAATCATATGAAAACTTTATTTGAATTCTACAAAGAATGCTTTTTCTTATAATGTCTCCTTGACTACTTTTTAGGATATCATTGCAATGGAGGAAGAAAAGGATCAGCTCATTAAGAGAGTTGAACGTTTGAAGAAAAGGGTAAGGCAAGAATTAGCACTGTAAGACTTTTACCCCAAGTCCCAAGGACTTGCAAAGATTTAGGAATAGAAATAAGGTTTAAGCAAGGCATTGGTGTACATCTGAGGATGGACTCAAATAACATTGACAGAAAGGGAATCTCCCTAGGCAGTAGCCCAGAACTTTTAAGCACCTGGAGTCTGGAACTTTACTGTCATCTCTAGGGAGTAGTGTTTGCCAAAAAGAAATAAGTGGATGTCTGAGTCACGTGACATGCTAATTTCTTTCTTAACTTGACAGTAACATGTACTACTTATTCCCTTACTGTAGGTGGAGACAGTTCAGAATCATCAACGGATGCTTAAAATAGCAAGGCAACTTCGAGTTGAAAAAGAGAGAGAAGAATTTCTTGCACAACAGAAACAGGAACAAAAGAATCAGGTATCCTCATAAAAGTTTTTATTCTCATGATGAAAGAAATAGTAAATTTGATCATTCAAATGTAAAGAAAAAAGAATTCTACAATTATAGTTCATGTTTCCTTTTGTTAACATGATGGAATACTCTTAAGAGGATTTTGTGGCACCAATAGCAATAATACTACTTTTTGGGTTCTGTACCCTGTATGTATCTATATACTACCTTTTGGCCTATGCTTAACTCATAGTTGACCCAACATGAGTTGGGGCATTCATTGTAATGTTAAGCATTAAGATTAACTGCTGATAAAACTGGTAGAATCTCTAAAGGGTGTCCTGAGATACTGGTGCTATGAGAATATCCATTTTATACTACTGATCACGGTATCCACTACAGTTTATTACCATGGGAAATAAGCAAATCATGAAAAGGCTCAAAATCACCCATACTCCACATTTTTAGACTTTGCCTTAAAGAAAAAATAATTTGGCTAGAAAGGATTACTTTTATTAAAAATCTATCTTAAAAATAGTAGACTTATACATTAAAAATATACTTCAAATCAGCTCCATTTCCTACTCAATGAGATGTTTGACTCTTTTAGAACTTGATTTGGCATCATGGTAGTTCCCCAGAACCAGTAAACTGCATTGCTTGGGCCCTGAATGGTTCCTTAGCATCAGTGTCTGATTCTAAGACATCATTTGTGAGAATGGTAATATTTCTTAGAATTAAGAAAACCATGTTAGGGACACCTGGCTGGCTCAGTTGGTGGAGCATGCAGCTTTTAATCTCGGGGTGGTGGGTTCAAACTGCACATTGAGTATAGAGATTACTTAAAGATAAAAAAAGGAAAAAAAAAAGAAAACCATGTTATAACAAGAAAAGCCTGGTGTGTATATTTCTTTACCAAGTATTTTTCCTTGATTACTAAGTACAACCAATAACTAAAGATAAACTTTCTGAAAGCTTTTTTTAAAAAGGCTTTACATGAAAAGCTTTTGAGAAAACCAGTTACATTTTGGGCTCAACATAGTAATTTTCTTAGTTCTTATTATTCTTTTTACATCGCAAGAATTATGTGGAACTTGTATTTTTCTTTGCTTGTCTATGTGAGTGGTAGGTTTCAATAGACTAAGCAAATAATGGATCTATTTGTATTTTAAAGCTATTTCATGCAGTGCAGAGACTGCAAAGAGTACAAAATCAGCTGAAAAGTATGCGCCATGCAGCAGCAGATGCAAAGCCTGAAAGTAAGTGGTAACTATTATAGGATACAGATGATCAAAGAATATTAGTTAAAGCAATCAACTCATGGGACTTAATTATCATCTAGTGATCGCTAAGCATTTCAAAGTATCATTTCCTAGTTAATGGATGAGAGCCCTGTTGAAGACATCCTTAAGTTTTTACCTGGGGTTTTATAATTCCCATTCACTGTTTGGTCAGAGAATGAAGGGAGTGAAAACCACCATGGAGGGAGGCTCTCTGGTGTATGAGCATATAAAATACTTAGGATGGATGTTATGAAAAAGATAGTTGGAGAAGATGTGAATAATTGTTATAAAGCCTGGGCTATAAAGAAAAGGAATAAATGTTGGACCCTTGGGTTGTGCTAATGACATGGGTATCCTGGCTCTGTTGTCACATTAGCTTTACTTAGAAGATAAATTGTGATATTTCCAGATTATACCACAAACCCATCCTAAGCATTTTTAAAGTTTTATTGCTCATCAGAAGGGAGACCATGTACACTGGAAGCGCAGTGGAAAGCTCTCATTGGTACTGGAGAAATATTCCAGTGTAAAAATCTAGCTGCTCAAGGATTAATCCATCTTTCTGTAGTATTATATGAAATATTATACTGTAAGCTATAAGTCATAGAATAAAAAAGACAGACAATAACAAGTGTTGACGAAAATGGAAATCTCATATGTTGCTGGTGGGAATATAAAATGGTGTGACTGCTTTGAAAAATATATCTGGCAGTTCCTCAAAAGGTTAAACATAGTTACCATGACCCAGCAGTTTCATTCCTAGGTATCTACCCAAGGGAATTGAAAACCTGTGCCCGCACAAAAATTTGTACACAAATGTTCACAGCAGCCTTATTCATAATAGCTAAAAAGTGAAAACAGCCCAAATGTCCCTAAGCTGATGAGTGAATAAACAAAATGTGTATATTCACACAATGGAATGCAAAGGAATGAAGTGTTGATACCTACTGCAACATGTATGAGCCTCAAAAACATGTTGAGTGAAAGAAACTAGTCACAAAAGACCACATATTATATGATTCCATCTGTATGAAATGTCCAGAATAAGCAAATTAGAGAGAGAAAATCAAACTAGTGATTGCTTAGGGCAGAGGGGTTGTAGGAGAGGACAGTTGTGTATATGGGGTATGGGGAGGAAGGGACTGCTGATTAGTAGAGAGCTTCTTTCAGAGCCGATAAAAATGTTCTAAAATTGATTGTGGTGATGGTTGTGCAACTCTGTGAATTTACTAAAAACCATTGAATTATACACTTTAAATGGGTGAATCTTATGGCATGTAAATTATATCTCAATAAAGCTCTTAAAAGAGATAATACAGTATTTCCTTAATTCTCGACCCATATTCTTTCCCATTTTAATTGTTTTTGCCATTGGGATATATCTTACATTTTTATGTACATTTACCATGATATTTGTTATTTAATCAATGACATCTCAGAATCAAGGAAATATATTTAATTTATATTTGAAAAACCAGTATAGTGTTGCCTACAAAACATATGGTTAATACATGTTAATTAGTGGCTTTCCATAGATTCTCTTATGCCTCTTAGTCTTAAAAATTCAGATTCAAGCAATACCTGGAAGTTGCCAGGCATTTAGTTGTTGGGGTCATTTCATTCTTCATTCACTAAGTTTTCACTTTTTAGGAGAATGTTAATTTTCAGGACAAAGAAAATACTTTTTTATGATTTTTTTTCTCCTTAGTATAATCTATATCTTTTTAGTGTATATTCTTTGGATTTGATGTAGGTTCCTTCACAATTTACTGCAAAAAAGTAAATCTTCAAAAGAAACCCATTAAATATAGCCATTTAAAAATTAATATCAGTAAGTAATTTGTATAGGCCTACTCTTACTAAGTATTAGAACTTACTATTAATAGTGAATTTTTTGAAATGAAGATAGTGTGTATAAGAATTTAAAGATTTGATATGCAGGGCGCCTGGGTGGCTCAGTTGGTTGGGCGACTGCCTTCGGCTCAGGTCATGATCCTGGAGTCCCGGGATCGAGTCCCGCATCGGGCTCCCTGCTCGGCGGGGAGTCTGCTTCTCCCTCTGACCCTCTTCCCTCTCATTCTCTCTATCTCTCATTCTCCCTCTCGCAAATAAATAAATAAAATCTTTAAAAAAAAAAAGATTTGATATGCAGAAAAACAATTAGTTGATCAATGCAGTTTAATACAATTTATAATGTTCACCTGAAAATGTATTTCTGTAATATCTGTTGTCCTCAATCTTATTAGGTTAAATATTTCTTGCTATTATGTTTTAATTTTGACAACTATACAGACTATCCAGAGATATTTATAGCATTAGCAATATTTCATTTTTTATTTGAATTGATAGTCTTTATTTTGCTTTGACTTACTAGCCTAAAGAGAAGTTGTTTGGGCCAGGAAATACATAATTATTCACTTAGTAATAGAATTCACAAATAAAATTGTGTTTTATGCATCTCTTGAGATGTTGGTGTAAAATATTAATATAAGTAATATGTTAGTAGATGCTGCTAAATAATAAAATCAATTGCATTGTTAAGTAGTAATAGAAATAATTATCTCAAACCTACAGTGCATTAATTCAGTATTTGTTGAAATCTACTGCATGTCAGGAACTGTGCTGGGTGCTAGGAATAGAAAAAAGATGTTTAGGTTCTCACAGTCTAATACAGAAAAGACAGGCAGTGAATAGTGATCATGCAGCTTTACATATTTGCTGATGAAGCTCAAGCACAGGGTTCTGTGAGAACAGAGGCAAAGCACCAAACCCTATCACAGAGTCAAATGGCTTCTTGGACAAGGTAGCACCTGAGTTAAGTTCAAGTTGGAAAGGTGAAGGAGTAGAAGACATTCCATGCCAAGGCACAGTGACCTGAAAGAACATAAATATAGTAGATGAAGGAGAGATAAAAGGGTAGGCTTCTTCTGACTGCTTGTCTTTGAAAAGGAGGCGAGAGCGGGAGGGGGTGTGCAAATGAATGAGGAAGACAGCACTGTGCCTAGACTGAGAGAGGGTAGTAGTGTAGGGTGATTGTGTGCTGCAGAAGAGAGTCAGTCGGACAAATGGAGATTGAAGATCCATGAGGAGAAGGTAAGAAGTGATAGCAGCCTTTCCTGTGTGCTGTTGCACTGAATGTTCTGCAGCAATTACCACAATATGTTAATTGTTGGCATTATCTGAATCTGACTCAACTCAACTCCAGACTAGTCACCAAGTCATAATTGGTCTTTCTATTTCCAGGCCCTAGCATGCTAAATTACACATAACAGGCCTACAGTAAATAGTCTGTTAAGTAGTTAGGAGGTAGGAGTAGAGACCAAATCCCTGGATAGGAAGAAAATAATCATTTCCACAGATAGGAGGGGAATTAAGTAGGAAAAAAAGGGCTGAAAACATAAAAATAAGATATTATGTGTGCAATATACGTTCTTTGGGGGTGGACAGGGTATGGGGAGCCGCAAGTTAAGGAGTTCTTGCTTTGTTGACATCTTTCTGGAAGACAGTCTTAAGGGTTGTATTCAGCAGCCTGGGAAAAGGGTAGATGAAATATGTTTAATTGATCCAGGTATTTCCTTTAAGAAGGTCTATCTATACTTTTTAAGTAACAAAAAAATGACTTATGGAAAGTTTCCATTTACATAAGTAACATAAGTATTTTTAGTGTAGGAATGTGCTTTGTATTTTTTCAGAGTAACAGCCTTATTATAAAACACTCATGGAAGTTAATTCATCTTTATACTCTACACTTTCATGAGATTTATTATATAAAAGAAGCTACTCATTAAACTATAGTAGGGCCAGTAAGACATTTCTAGAGGGTTTTTAATCAAAAAGTTTACTGAGATCTTAGTGACCTTCTATTTAATTTCACCAGGATTTTGAAAGATAATTTTTTAAAAGCTGCATAGAACATATGACTGCTTTCAAGGTCTTAAGTTAGAACTTAGAAGAATTTAAAATGTGACAGAAACCCTGTTTTTACCTTTTTTTAACAGTTGTATTGAGGTAAAATGGACATATGATAAACAGCACGTATTTGAGGTATATACTTGCTAAGTTTTGACATAATGTACAGACTGGTGAAACCATCAACCTTAATCAGGATAACAAATAATATCTATCACCCCCAAACATTTTCTTGTGTCCTTTGTAATAGCTCCTTTTTGCCCCTTTCTGTCCCTCTACCTATTCCCAGGCAACCACTGATCTGCTTTCGATCACTATACATGAATTTGTATTTTCTAAAATTTGAATCTCTCTTTTATTTTTTTAAAGATTTATTTATTTATTAGAGCGCTAGAGAGCATGAGGGGTGGGGGAGGGAGAAGGAGAAGGAGAAGGAGAGAAGCAGACTCCCCTCTGAGGGCGGATCCTGACCACTGGCTTGATCTCACCACCCTATGACCTGAGCCGAAATCAAGAGTCAAATGCTCAACTGACTGAGTCACCCAGGTGCCCCAAATCTTTCTTTTAAATAGGGAAAATAATATTTGAGACTTTTAAATCTTTAAAAACATTTTAGATTTGATTCTTCACGTCTCTGATTACATGTAGTTTAAGAACTTGAAGATGGAAGACCTAGTCCCCTAATAGCCAAAGAAGCCAGGATGTAGATTTAATCAGAAACCATGTAGGAATGACTGCCTAATTATAGTCTGATTCATTAAACACTTTCTCTTCTCTCCCTTTCCCCAGTGCCTAAAAAGGGGGGGAAATTGTAGGGATGAATGGAAAACTTGTGATTTTGCCATTAATAAATTTTTACATGTTAATGGTTAGCACAACAGAACTAAAAATAGTGTTTAGACTTTGGGCCAAATAATTATGCAATCTACCTACGTAGATTACTTAAACCGGAAATCCAGTGTTTTAAAGAGTCAAGCCAGAATTTGTAAATGTGTAATGGAAAGATTTGAAATAAACTTTTTAAAGCTCTCTAGGCTGGGAATTTATAACAAAACCATTATTCACTGAAAATCTCTGTGTGTATATATTTGTGTGCTCTACCAAAATGAGAAAACTTATTAAGTATTTAAAGTATAATTTAAGTTACCACCTACTGTAAGCTAATACTTTACAATATCAAAACTACCAAACATGGAAAGCCAAAAGTGTTTATGAATGTAGGTAATTTCTTTTTTTTGCATTTTAACTTGTACTTTTAGTAATGTTTTCATTGGTTTGAAGCTGACAAAGTATAATGTATTAACATTTATGAAGTATTAGAATAGAAATATAAATTGCACCAGAAGTATTGTGAAAGAAGAAGGGTAAATGGCCACTTATAGAAGAAAGAATCTGGGTGAGATTTCATTTATGTTGCCATTTGTGTTGTGGACTGCTTTAAATACTTAGAAGGCAAAAAAGACCTGAAAGATACCTGGCTCTGCAGATGTTATTTTTGTATGTTGTGAAGTATAAAAAAGAATTAGGTAGAGGTTTGGAAAGATCATAATATTACTTTTTCTAAAATTATTTTAATGTTTTTCTGTGTAAATTGTCCTTTGTTATCATTCTAATTAACATCAAAAGATTTCAATGGTTCGGCTCCTGGCTGGCTTAGTCAGAGGATTGTGTGACTCTTGATCTTGGGGTTGTGAGTTTGAGTTCCATGTTGGGTGTAGAGATTACTTTTTAAAAATTGGAAAAAAAATTTCAATGGTCAATTTTTTATTATACAGATTGCTTTCAATAGATATGCCTATTATTCAGGTCTTCTATTTTAAAGTGCACAAAGTATCACTATACCTACTCTCTTGGGCTGAATATTTATTTTATTTTTAAAGGTTTAATGAAGAGGCTAGAGGAGGAGATAAAATTTAATTCTTATATGGTAACTGAAAAATTTCCTAAAGAATTAGAGAGCAAGAAAAAAGAATTGCATTTTTTACAAAAAGTGGTTTCAGAGCCTGCCATGGGCCATTCTGATCTTCTTGAGCTTGAATCTAAAGTAAGTGACAATCATCTTCTTTTTATAGCTCCCAATTTTATCTCATCCCCAGTCCTGTGAAAATTATGTGAACTGCTTTCTATAGTGTCCTACCCTTGACTCTTAAGTTAACCTGTGCTGAGTTGACAGCTTTTATGAGGAGTTCTTTGTGAGAAATTGTAGCATGTAATAATGCTGTTACTTAATCCACATGATGTTATAAAGACTTAGTCAACTGATTAGGAAACTAAGTAGCTTGAAGATGTGAATTAATGCATATGATTGACTCATAGGTTTATGTATTCGTAATATAATCATTTAGATGGTAAATTTTAAAATATTTCACATATCATTAATTTTTATTTCCAAAAATAATAATATAGCAATTTTATATTTAAAGCTAAAATGTTTGTATTAGCCTTTTATGCCTGCTTTGGAATTACTAAACTTTCTTGTAATGCTTATTGAAACCTGGTTTTATGTTATAAAATTTTTGTACCATAGAAATAAAGCACCAATCAGATGTGTATTCTTAAAAAATAACAATTAAATATTATGACGATTGAAAGATTTTGATTTGCTAATCCTTTAATGTGCTTAATATGTGTTCAATAGCCACTATAAATAAATACATAATTCTGACCACTTTATTCTTTTAATTTACTTATAGAAATTACATGTCCAAGTGAGATTTGGCTCAAATTTAATGTCATACAATTAACAGGAGAACTCCAGTCTTTTCAAAAGATAGATATACTGAAAGCCATGTGATCTTTTTTTTTATTACTTGAGGGACTATATGCTTCTATTGGCTTTATTCACTTTTATTTTATTATATTTGATAAAGGATTAATGAGTAGGATAAATGACAACTATCATCAAATCACAGATCATTAGAACAGGAAGCATTTTTAGATGTCATCCATGTCAGCTCTCAGTTGGGTTCATGAATTCCTTGAACTAAATCCCTGGGGAATGTTAGTCTGGATTTGCTTTATCACTTGCAGTGACTTGAAAGTCACAAGCTAGGTGAGGGGTAACTTCAGATTTGTAGAAATTGATAATAATGTACAAATATTTCACATAGAATACTTTAGTATAATTTAAACATAGATGGTTATATAAGTCATCAAAATATGTAAATATATATCATGAACTATGAAATGTAAATTTTTCTAAAAATAATCATAACAGCCCGCTTATAATATTAATGAACCTGTTTCTCCCATGAAATCACTGATGATAAGAACAGTAAATTCAAAGCTTGGTTTGGCCAGATGTCACTTAGTTTGTATAATCATAGGAAGAGTTTTAACCTTCTTTCATACTGTTTTAGATAAATGAAATAAACACACAGATCAATCAGCTGATTGAAAAGAAAATGATGAGAAATGAGCCAATTGAAGGCAAACTCTCACTATATAGGCAACAGGTGAGACCACTCTTTTGGCCTTCATATTTAGATCTTTCATCTTATTGGTGAACATCTTTGTAAAAACCCCAGGCTGTGTTGTGGATAGTCTTAAAGAAGGAGGTAAAGAATAAATATTCTTCTCTTATTGCTAATCTCCGGATTATAACAAAGAATTTGTGGAAAAGGCACAAAAGATGTATGTTCAAGTTTGAAATTCAATACACCTGATCATGCTTAGTTTCCTTACTGTCTGCCAACTGTGGTAATGGAGCTGTTTGTGTTTCTGTCTGTTGAGTGTGAAACTTGAGTTTTTAAATGAAAGCTTACCTTAAGTGGTATAAAATCAAAATATTTATAATCTTTAATCAATTAAAGGCAATATACCTTTTCAGGTTTAAAGTTAGTTTGCAAGTATAGAATAAGTTAAATTTTAGTGCTAAGGCATTTATCATTTTATCCACACTATTAGATTGTGAGGGTATAAATGTTGTTCTGTATTTCTAAACAAAAGGTTCAAATGAAAGCCATGGATTATCTGAAAAGAACCCAGTCAGGAGGAGTTTAGTGTGATGAGCATTTTGCAACCTCAGAAAATATTGAGCTGCATAACAAAGCATTTTTCACAGATGCTAAAATTTTTTTTTAGTTGCTAAAATTTTTAAAAACCTTTTTATACTGGAGAATTAACATATACAAAGGTAGAGAAAATAGCCCAATAAACTCTCATGTGTCCCAGACTATAACAATCACAGCCATTCTTGTTTCACTAAAGCCCCAGACCTAACTGGATTATTTTAAAGCAAATCTTAGACTTTATATCATTTCATCAATAAATATTTCAGAATGTATGTCTAAAAACTAAAGGCTTAAAAAAACTTAGCAGCATACCACATCTGAAAAATGTCATAATTCCTTGATATTGGCAAATATCCAATCAGTGTTCACATTTCCTGGATTTTCTTTTTCTTTCTTTCTTTTTTTTTTTTAGTTGCTTTGTTTTAATTGGGATCCTTACAGAATTCATACACTGCATTTGATTGATATGTTTAAGTCTCTTTTAATCTGTAGATTCTCTTTGCCACTTATTTATCTATTTAATAATTTTCTTGCAGTTAATTTATTGAAAAAACTTGTTTATCTATAACAGTGTCCTGTTGATACTGTTGATTCCTTCTTCATTTATTAGCTGGATTGCCTCTATAAAAGAAACGTCTCAGGCGCCTGGGTGGCTCAGTTGGTTGGGCGATCGGCTCGGGTCATGATCCTGGAGTCCCGGGATCAAGTCCCACATCGGGCTCCCTGCTCGGCGGGGAGTGTGCTTCTCCCTCTGACCCTTTTCCTTCTCGTGCTATCTCTCATTCTCTCTCTCAAATAAATAAATAAAATCTTTAAAAAAAAAAGAAACGTCTCATCAACAATTTGATTAAACTGAGCTGTAGTTCATGTAGGAAAGGCAGGCTGCATGCTTGATTCTTTATCAGTTTTCAAAAAGAATTGGTTTCCTCCAACTCATTTTCATTCTCCATCAATTAAGGTAGTTTTTCATTCTTTAGTTGCTTGTTTACTTAATGTCATGAATCATTGATGTAATTATATTTGGTAAGTTTAAAACATTTTCCTTAATGTTGCTCAGTTGTCCCATTTTTGGCTAGTAGGAGGCTTTTCAAGTAACTTCTGATTCCTTTTTAAGATTCTGTTTGTCTTTGATAATGTCCTTGCTTTCTGGTATGATTAAGATATTTCTGTGCTCATCTTTTATATTTCCTACCCTAGGCTTGGAATTAGACTTTCTTCTATGAGTCTGATTTGCTTTAGTAGGAAATAATATTTAGAGACTGAAATCTGGGTATTAGGACTTCTCATTGCTCCTGGGTGATCATTATTTTTAGGTCTTTTTAGTGGCCAAAGCTAAGAAATAGTTTGTTTTTTTTTTTCTTTCTTCCTAATATACACCATGAGTTCATACTTACCCTTCCAGGTCAGATTCAAGGCTACTGGGCTTCTCACATCAATCTCACATCTTTCTCCTTATCCCACATGGAAAATTCTGGTTCTCGGTAACACTAACATAATTTAATTCATTATTTGCTTTAATCCACACTTTACACACAACCGTTTCAAAATAAAAGTAATAATACTACCACCAAAAATACAATTGCTGTTCAAAACTATTTTTCAGTTTGTTTTGTCCTTAAGATATATCCCACTAGGAATAGACAAATTACTGTTTTAAAGTCACTTAGAATAGTTCTTCTATATGGTTATACCACAAATTAAGCTGGATACGTATATATGTTTATTTTTATTTTTAGGGATTACTATTTATTTATTTACTTACTTTAGAGAGAGAGAGAGCATGCACTTGAGTAGGGGAAGGGGCAGAGGGAGAGGGAGAGAAAGAATCCTCAAACAGACTCCTCACTGAGTGCAGAGCCCAACCCAGGGCTCTATCCCAGGCCCCCAAGATTATGACCTGAGCTGAAATCCAGAGTTGGCCAATTAACCAACTAAGCCACCCAGGCACCCCTAGGGATTACTTTTTAGGGAATAATTTGTTTTATAATTATTTAAAATATTTACATGATTCCAAGTAAAATCTAAAAACCAAGAAATACTCGAAGAGGTTTCTAGCATCTACTCTGGTGCTGTCCACCCTAATCGTTCCTTCCCTCATAGGTTAATTTTAAAAATTTATACACTTTATTATCCCATTAAAAATAATAGTATATATACATAATAGATACAAAAATAATAGTATATGTACATTCATATATCTTCCTTCTTAGAGAAGGAAGAGCATATAATACACACCTTTATTTTCCATGCTTTTTAAGATTTTTTTTTTTAAGATTTTATTTATTTATTTGACACAGAGAGGAAGAGGGAGAGAGCAAGCACAAGCAGGGGGAGCAGCAGGCAGGGGAGAAGCAAGGCTCCCTGCTGAGCAAGGAGCCTGATGTGGGGCCCGACCCCAGGACCCTGGGATTATGACCTGAGCTGAAGGCAGACGCTTAACAGACTGAGTCACCCAGGCGCCCCGCTTTTTAAAATTCTTAATGATATATGCTGGTGAATAGTAAAATAATCTTTATCCCTTTTTTTTTTACAACTTTATTGAGATATAATTCACATACCATACAATTCACCTATATAAAATGCACAATTCAGTGATTTTCAGTATGTTTAGAGTTGTGCAACCATCACCACTATCAATTTTAGAACATTTTTATCATCTCAAAAAGAAACACTTAACCCACTAGCAGTCACTTCCCATTTCCTTCCCAACCCTTAGCTCTAGGCAGCGAAACTGTCTATAGAATTGCCTGTCATGGACACTTCATACAAATGGAATCATACTATATGTGGTCCTTTGTGACTGGCTTCTTTCACTTAGCATAGCTTTTAAAGTTCATTCATGTTGTAGCATGAGTCAGTACTTCATTCTTTTTGTTATTGAATAATATTCCATTGTATGGCTAGATCAAAATTTTGTTTATCCATTCATCAGTTGATGGGCATTTGGGTTATTTCTAACTTTTGACTGTTATGAATAATGCTGCTATGAACTTTCTTATACGAGTGTTTGTATGAAAATATGTTTTCATTTCTCTTGAGTATATTCCTAGGAGTGGAATTGCTATTTCGTATGATAATTCTGTGTTTAACATTTTGAGGGAATGCCACTGTTTCCAAACCAGTCCCACCAACAGTGTATGAAGGTTTTGATTTCTCCACATCCTCGCCAACACTTGTTATTATCTGTTTTTTTTTTATTATAGCCATCTTAGTTGGTATGCTTATTCCTGTTCACAGTCACATAGTACCCTGTTGAGTGGGGTTCGTGCAGCCTGTCACCAGGTGGACATTTGGGTTGTTGCCTTTCTTTTGCTATTACAAATCATGCTTCAGTAGATAGCTTTTTGTTTATGTCTTTGCATATTTTTGCCGGTGTTACCTTAAGGATATAGTCCCAGAGGTGAGATTGCTACATCAAAGGGTAAATGCATATGTAAGTTTGCTAGATATTGCCAAATTCCTCTCCATAGAGGTTGCAGCATTTCATGTTCCCACCTGCAGTGTAGGAGAGTACCTGTGTCCTTGCTGCCTCCCAATAGAGTGTGTTGTTGAACTTTCAGAGTTTTGCCATCCTTGTAGATGAGACATCATATCCTGTGATAGTTTTAATTTTTATTTATCTTATTATAAACAAGGTTGAGCATCTTCTCACATGAGTAACAGTCATCTTAATTTCTTTTTCTGTGAATTGCCCCTTCATGTCTATATCCCCATTTTTCTCTAGAGTTGTTGGCCTTTTTTTCTTTATATATTAGAAAAATTTACTCTTGGGACACCTGGGTGGCTCAGTCAGATAAGCATCCGACTCTTGGTCTCAGCTCACACCTTGATCTCAGGGTCATGAGTTCAAGCCCCGTGTTGGGCTCTGTGCTGGGTGTGGAGCCTACTTCAAAAAAAGAAGAAAAAGAAGAAAAGAAATATTTACGCTTTGTCTTGCTTATAACTGTAACATTTTCCCCCAGTTTGGTATTTGCCTTTTTACTTTGTTTACAGTGTTATGTCACCATGGGAAAGTTCTTTATTTTTATGAAATCAAATTTAATAGTTTTTTCTCTTATTATTTCAGGGTTTTTTTTGGTTTTTTTTTTAAAGATTTTATTTATTTGAGAGAGCGAGAATGAGAGAGAGAGAGAGAGCACATGAGAGGGGGGAGGGTCAGAGGGAGAAGCAGACTCCCTGCTGAGCAGGGAGCACGATGCGGGACTCGATCCCGGGACTCCAGGATCATGACCAGAGCTGAAGGCAGTCACTTAACCAACTGAGCCACCCAGGCGCCCATTATTTCAGGTTTTGAGGCATATTTAGGAACATTTTTCCATCTTACAAGTTATAGAGAAATTTACTCAAGTTTTCTTTTTGGACTTCTCTGTTTAATTTTTTATATTTAAATTCTCTGATCTATTTAGAATTGTTTTCTGGTGTATGCTATTTATTGTGTATAGCTATCCAATTATCTAATTGTCCCAATACCAGTTATTAAAAAGTCCATTTTTCCCTCTATGGATTTGAGATTCTGTTTGTTCTAATTTAAAAATGCTATTGGATTTATTTCTATATTTTCTATTTTTCCATTGGCTTGTCTGTTCAGGTACTCAACTTATTTACAGAAGCTTTATAATCAAGTTCAAATAACTGATAAAAGTAGCCACCTTCACCCCCAGTTGCTGTACTTTTTCAGGGTTTTCCTTACAATTCTTATTTATATGTTCTTTCAGTAAGCTTTATTATCAACTTGTCCAGCTCTTGAAAAAAATAATTTTTTTTAATCATTGGGTTTGCTTTGTATTTATCACCTACCTCCGAACTTACATCTTTATGATATTTGAGTCTTCCCATCTAAGAACATGTTATGTGTCTCCATTTGTTCAAGTTTATTTTTTGGTCTTTCAGGAGTGTTTGTTTTCCTCAACATTTTGGAACTTCTCTTGCTTACATATTTTATTTTATTTTTTGCTCTTATAATTGAGGGCTTTTTTTTCCTTATGTCTTCTTCCTGATTTGTCTATAGGTGCTATTGATTTGTTTACTGTAGTTTTCCCATAGATTCTCTTGGGTTTTTTAGGTATATAATCATATACTATGAAAATTCCAACTTCTCCTGTCAAATTCTTACGCTTCAGATTGCTTTCTTTCATCTAATGGTATGAGCAGATATCTTCAACATAATATTAAATTATTGTGGAGATAGTGGGCATTTTTACCTTGTTCCAGATTTAGTAGGAGATACTCTCATGTTTCTCTCTTAAATAAAATCCTGGTTTGGGCTGAGTTTTATATTTATTTTATCATGTTAAGGAAGTATAGCATTGATTCCTGTATGGTTATGGTACTCTTATCATTCCTTCTCTCTCTCTCTCTCTCTTTTTTTTTTTTGCTAGAATAATCCCATAGAGAGAAACATTCCTTCATCATCTGTCTTTCATTTTTTTAAACAGAGAGAATAGACTTGTTTAAAGGGTTTGCATTAGAGATTTCCCCTCCCCTGTCAAATTTGTGTGAAGAAAATATTTGTACTATTTCACTTAAGAGGACAGTTTGGACTAATGTTTTTCTTAAACTAGTACCGCCATGGTTCATTTAAGGAAATCCCCCAAGACTTGCTAAGTAATATAAAGTGCTGCATTCATGGCTAAGAGCAGCCATTTGGATTGTGTAAACATTGGCCTAATTCTGGTGAGTCACATATTTGATTTTAAACCTGTACTTTATTTATTAGAATGCACCAAATAAAGTAGATGTTTTAATATTTCATTTTCAAAGTATGGATATTGAATTTAAGTAAGATAATCTGTGTTATAGTTTTGAGAGTAAGACATTCTTGTTTTCTTTCAGTGAAAGGAAACCTACCATGCAGAAAAATAAAAGACTTAAGGAGAGCTTCTCTTTACTTACCTAGAAAGCATCTTCATTAATGTTTGAGTGTTATTTGACAATATTTTAATATTTTTATTACTACTCTATTTTGTTTCTCTGCTGATATAGCCTATATTTTCAGGGCTTTTGTCTTCCAAATGTTTTGGAGTTGATATTTAGTATACATTGCATACTCATATTAAACAGATAACTGATGATGACAGGTAGTAGGGCAAAAGATATTGGTTAGGAGAAGCCAACCTGATATTCAAAATTTCGCTTGGTAAATCTAAAAAATTTATCTTTCACAAGATAATAGAAAGTTGATTGTGTGTCTAACTTTACATTCATATTTAATGCTCAATTAGGCATCCATCATTTCTCGTAAAAAAGAAGCCAAAGCTGAGGAACTTCAGGAAGCAAAGGAGAAGTTAGCCAACCTAGAGAGAGAGGTGTCAGTGAAGACAAATCAGACCCGTGAATTTGATGGCACCAGAGTTTTGAAGGGAGATGAAGTAAGTTGAGGCGTCTAATGGGACAAGGATATAAATATTGTTTTTGTTTGAAAACATTCATGTTTTTTACTTTTTTGGTTTGAATATCAGTAATGGAAAGTTAATTTTATTTTGTAATACCTATTTATTTAAAACTGATAAGTCTTTGCAATAATATTAAGATATTCTTGCTTATAATGACATAGATCTTAGTGATTTTATGAGATAATGTTCCAAATTTTTACTTTTTAATTAAGCAAATTTATATTGGTTTTATTAATTATTAATATTAAATTATAAAAGTAAGGCAAAATGAGTAGGAACTAACAGATAAGACAAAAATTCATATTTGATAAATGTCATTCCAGAAAGGGTTGAGAAAATAATCACTAAGTTACTCTGTCAGTAATGTGTATTTGGCCACTGGAACTGGCACCATTTAAATGATTTCATTGTAGATGCTTGTAAATTTTAAAAATACGACTCTATCTTGTGTTGCTGTATACTTAAATTTTTGAACAATGTTTTAACAGCTGTTATTTCATTTATCCTTCTGTCAGACTCGTGAGATTAGTAGGACAAGTAATATTGTCATTTGTGTATATGGCTAAACTTAAGCACCAAAAATATAATCCCCCATCTCATTTTCATAAAATTAGCTCAAGAAAGAATGAATAAATGAAGCAAAATATCTTGTCTTTAGTACAGTGCTTTTTTTTTTAAAGCAAATCAAGTGATAGGTGTTATTTTAATTCCCAATCATTGCCTGTACTTCACCACTTCTTATAGCTCATTTATTTTATATTAGCTACTTTGCTACTAGGCCTCAGCAAAAGCTACTTCAAAAAGCTGCTCACATCCAAACTTCATTTTTGGCTTTGAATAGTTACCAAATTCATACTGTTACAAATTGGCAGTGAGCCTTTACTGTGCCAAACACAAGTGAGTTGTTCCCACGGTACCACTTTTCTCTGTGGTGTTTCTGATTGTAGCCTCCCAGTATGCTGTTAGCCTTCTGGGAAGTAGTAGATTTCAGCAGTCAGCATGTGACTGAAAAATTCCTTTGGCTTTTAACATCCACTTCCAGATTGCTTTAAGAGATGGGAATATTTTAAATGTTACTTGGAAGCTAACAGGGTGTGCTTTGTGACGTCCTTGCAATCCAGTGTGGGGGGGAGGTTAATTATGCAGTAATTTTGTTTTATAAGAGACCATGCTACCTCCTACCATTTTTGTCTTAAGAAAATGCTGCCCAATTGACGAGAAATATTAATTGCCGTGGTCACATTTGGCATGAATAGTGCAATGAATCTATAAATTCAGCATTAGATATTCTAGCTTCTATGCAGATGTGAGGGGGAAAGAACATGGTACCAACCTATTAAGTTTTATTTTTGATAAATTACAGTGAATAGGAGAAGTGTCTGATGACAGAAAAAGCATACTTTTTTTAAAGGGAAAAAAGATAACTTTGGAAATGATAAGGTCAACTTAATTTTTAAACAATATCTGGTCAGAAATTAGAACAAATCAAGTAAATCATTTGGCAGTTACTTAAAAGAACAGAAGGTATTGGGGAACATTAAGCATAATTTTGTAAAGAACAAATCTTGGTAGACCAGTTTTATTTTCCACTTTGATACAAAGTGATAGACCATATGGACAAAAGGGAGGAAGTTTGTTATACTTAAAATTATATAATATAGCTGGACTTCAGTGAGGTTTCATTTGGTATCACATGGTAATCACCAAAAAATCATGTTTTTTGCCAACCATCTGTTAACACAGATGGTGAGAGGGTATCGAGTAGTAGCATGGCATTTAGAAAGAATAACTATACCAGGAGTCACAAATAAGAGAATGAGGAAGGGGGGCCTAACATTAATTGAGCACTTTTTATACAAGGCTCTGTGCTAGATGCCCTGCAAACACATACTTCTTTACTTCTTATATTCTTGTTACTGTTATTTCCATTTTACAATTGAGTGAAGCTCAGGGAAGTATAGATGCACTTATAGGTAATAAGTGGCCAACCTGGAATCCAGGTCTTTCTCACATATTCCTGTTGACCTTGAGCAAATCACTTCTCCATCTATAAAATGGGGGTGATTGCTCTTCACTATCATTATGAAGAACACACGAAATAATGGATGTCAAAGCTTCCAAGAAACTGGAAGTTTCAGTCAACATATATCTGGCATCTGGAAGTCATCATTCCTATGGGCCTCATGTTACTTACTACATGTGTGAAAGACAGTATAGTGGAATGGTGAAGGGCACAGGCTCTAGAATTTGGTTGGTTGAGTGCATATCCTGAATTTGTCATCTTACCAGATGGGTAACCTTGGGCAGCTTCCGTAACCTCTTTGTGCTCAGCTGTAAAATGTGACTGTTATCACTGTATACCTCCTAGAATTATAATTGTACAGATTACAGTTATACAATTTTTCAGTTAATACCTGAAAAGTGCTTAGAATAGCACGAGCACATGCTGAGTGCTCAGTGTTAGCTCTTGATATTTTTATATTTTTGTCAGTCACTTGAATGAAGAATTTGAAAGCTAAGAATATGGTTTACAGCTTAAAACTTGAAATTAGTATTTTCTAAACTGGGTGCAATTCAGTAGAAATAAATATGAAATAGTTTTTGTTTATGGATACCTAATTTGCATGGACTCAAAATGGGATAACACTAATGATAGTCATTTTGGCTGCTATTCACTGAGCAGTTACTGTGTGCTCAATCTTTAAAAACATATCCTTGATGACGGTTGCACAATGATGTGAATATACTTAATGCCACAGAGCTGTACACTTAAAAATGGTTAAAAGGACACATTTTATACTATGTGTGTTTAACCACAATAAAACACACATGCAATATATCCTAATTCATCCTCTCAAACCTGTGAGGTAAATATTATCTCCATTTTGTGATTGGGGAAATAGGCTTAGAGAAATTTAAGTAACTTGCCTAAAGTCACAGTTAGTGAGTTGCAGAGTAAGGATTTGAACTCAGGTCTGACAGTCACTGACTGTTAGCTTGCTAGAATATGTGCTGCCGAGGCAAGCACACTGTTAGCTTGCTAGAAACTACGACAGCCATTTGTTTGGATGTAAACCTTCGTTCCTTGATTATCCCTATGTGGTTGGTTGATTAATCTTTTCTTGGAAAAATTTAGGAATGTGACTATGTTAATACTACACATTTAGTAATTTATATTCCTTTGTCATTTTCTTTTTAGAGGTCAGCTAGCAGTTTTTAAAGTTCGGTATTGAAGTATGTATTTTGATGCTTCCTACTGCTGTTAAAGTTAATATTCCAGATGTTACATTTCGTCTGAGAATTTTAGCTCTTCTGTTTGCAGATGACAAGTGCTACAGGCATTTGTTCTTCACTAGACTTTTTCATTAGTATTCCCTGGATGTTTCTTATTAATAAAAGATAAAGTGTCTAAAAATGCTCCTCTTTTTCATTGTACTTTGGTTATCACTTGAACATTTTATTTTCATTGTATTGCCTTGCTTAATTATGGCAGTAGGCACAGGAATGTGTTTATCTCTTATTGTACCAGACTTCTGACACGGGTAGGAATTTCTTGAACTGTTGAAATTATCTTCTCAGTGGTAGAGATTTTCTTATCAGTCTAGTCTATCTTGATTTCTTTCTTTTCACACCAGTATTTGGTAGGTGATAAGAAGGTTAAATTTAGACACTATAGTCTCTTAACATAACTAAAAATTGATGATAATGGAATGTCTGTTGTTTTTTTTTTAGATTTTTTTTTTATTTATTTGAGAGAGAGAATGAGAGATAGAGAGCACGAGAGGGAAGAGGGTCAGAGGGAGAAGCAGACTCCCCGCTGAGTAGGGAGCCTGATTTGGGACTTGATCCCGGGACTCCAGGATCATGACCTGAGCCGAAGGCAGTTGCTTAACCAACTGAGCCACCCAGGCGCCCAGAATGTCTGTTTTTTTATATCTTGAGGTTTTTTATATCGGATTTTAGTATGTAATAACTAGATATAGGGACGCCTGGGTGGCTCAGTAAGCGACTGCCTTTGGCTCAGGTCATGATCCCACGGTCCTGGGATTGAGCCCAGAATTGAGCCCCACATTGGGCTCCCTGTTTAGGGGGGAGCCTGCTTCTCTCTTTCCCTCTGCTGCTCCCCCTGCTTGTGCTCTCTCTGTCTGTGTCAAATTAATTAATTAATTAATTTAAAAAAAAACCCAAGTATAAATCTAGTTGAATTGATATTCTCAAAGAATTTTGAATGCTGTCATCTCTGAAAGCAGTTACCCAAAAATGCCATGAAGCTTTGTCCTTGATACCAACCTGTTTATTATTCTTATCAATAATTTAGATTAATTAATAGTTAATGTTTATTATGCAGGTACAATGTGCCAGACATCATCTAGGCTTATTATATACATTATCTTATTTATTTCATTGAACAACTCTAAGAGATAGTTATGATCATTATTCCTAGTTTTTACAGATATGGGAACTAAGGCACATGGAGGATATGTGATAACTTACCCAAGATCACGTGGCTAGTAAGTAGTAGTACCATGATTGGAATTGAGGTGGTCTCCCTCCAGAACCCTTAATAATTTTCACATGACAGGAAGCTAGAAGGAATAGTCAGCCTGAGAGAGATGATAGAATTAGGGTTCAAAGTCATTTTGGGAGGCAGGAGCTTTGTGCTAAAACAAACAAAATGCCATTAACAGGATTATGAATACAATGTTGTAGAATTTGAGTTTTGTCTGCCATCTCAACATACCACCCATGAGTAATGCAGCATTAGAAAACAAATTATTATACTCTATTAATAAAAAATGTAATATTCTATTTATGGTGAAATGGTGAAATTATGCCTGGAATACTATTTTACATTTTTGGCATATATTTTAAGAAGGACATAGTCAAGGCAGAGTCCAGATGAAGGTAACCAAAATGGATGAAAGTCTGGCAATTTTCATAGAAAGAATTGATTAGGTATTAACTGAGAACAAAAA